TTCCAGGTCCACTTTTGCTGGATCCTTGAAGCCGGCGGCCTCCTCCAACACAGAAGGAGTCAGTCATCTCTGCAGAGCAAGTACAGACCTATGAGATGAATAGACCCAACCCAGGACTTTCACTAGGGCTATCCCTAGGGGTCCACAACAGGCCTCTCTAGCCCTGACCTCCTATGTCTATAATATCAAAAAGCAAGTAATGGGGGCTTCTAACTCAGGGAATGGAGTCTGTACAGACAAGTTCTCCTAAATAACGCAGAAGGCATAAGCAGTGTAGAAAGAGCTAAGACTGCCACTACATTTGATATACTCAACTATACCCTCATCTAGACACATAATACCAAAGCGTGCTGAGGATCAGGTGGGTCCTGTGTTCAGAAGGGGCCTATGCAGTTGAAGGAGACTGGTAATTCTCCTCATGGAGGACAATTAACATCAGTAACAGTTGCTGGCTCACTCAGCCACACCAGGAAGCCCCAGAGATAGTTTCTCCTCAGGGTCCTGGCCCCTGTCCATCCAGAAACGCAATACCAACCTCCCCAGATAGGGACCCTTGAAGAGCTCTCTAAAGGGACAGAAGCCAACATGGGTACCAAATGCCTGCTTCCCCACCACAGGCACCCATCTCTTTGGTAGGCAAAGTGAAGATCCACTGGGAATGTATTTTGGTCTCCATGCTTACTGAGCCATCCTACCTGTCTTCTTAGCCTTCTGTGCAGCCAGGGCCCCTCTACCCAGATGGAGATACTGATTCAGACCCTGGGCTACCACGGGCTAACGGGTCATTTCTTGCTATTCTCAGCTAAACAAATTACAGCCAATACTAGCATGCAGAGGTCCACTCTCCAGAGCCTATGAGGCTCTGTGGCCTCATAGAGCATGTTCCTGCCTCCAGGAACCTGTCCTGCTTGTGGCATCACATACCCTGAAAACTGAGGGAGGCTCTGGGCATAACCATGTTGAGGCCTCCCAGAGGCACCCAAAGCCACAGAAGGGGGCGGTGGCAAAGTGCAAGGTTCAAGCAGTTTTTGATCAACTCAAATCAGAGGGGCCATGTAGGGGCTGCTATATGCAGGAGTGCTGAGGTCAGAGGTCAGGACAGTCACTATCCATCGCCAAGGGCAACACCCCATCGTGGGCCTAGGGGAGGGGAGGAGGGTCTTAAATAAACCAAGGTTCTCTGGGCGTCCTCGTTTTGCAGTTTCAGAAGGAAATGAGTTATCCAGAACCATGGTTACATTTGAGGCCCGGAGTATAGGGCCTGCTGCACCCTTCCAGTCTTTCAGAGCCTGGGCAGAGATCAGAGTTATGGGTAAGGCCTGGCCGCCAGAGTAGGAGGAAAACCCCTCCTCCACCTGGGGTCCCCGGGATCTCCCTTGTAGCCTCCAGAGAAAAGGGGGCCGCCGCCGACACAGGACACTCCACCTGGCCAGGCAAGCGAGGCCAAGACGTGCACCTGGAGGCCCGTGGCCACCCACCTGTCACCTGTGGCCGGACACGGGCTGCAGCCTGGCCCGGAAGCGCCAACCGCGGGGGGGCGAAGGCAGTGAACCAAAATGGCGACTTTTTCAGGAGAAGGAGGAGGCGGGAGGACGGCGCCGGCGCGGGGAGCGGGGCGCGGCGCGGGTCCGGGAGCGGTGGGGCGGCGGCTGGGCACAGGGCTGGTGCGGGGGCGCGGGGGGCGCCGGGACCGCGGTAGAGCGGGCAGTGCCGGCGCTTACCTGCAGCGCCCAACGGGTGCGGCCGGGCCAGGCCGGAGCCGGAGCCGGGGCGCGGGGCGCGGGGCGCGGGGTCCGGGCGGCGCACACTGCGCGCCGTGCTGCGCACATGCGCGCTCCCGCCCCTCCTACCTTTGACAGTTTTATGGGGGGGGGGGGGGACGACGCGGGGGCGAACTCTCGCGGTATCCACGCAGCCGCAACTGCGGGGAAGGGGCCGGTGGGGCCCGTCTCCTCCTTGAGCCTGTGAGATCGGTAGCCGAGGTGGTACTTGCCTCTAGAGCCAAGAGGCCTGCCACGCGTGATTTGGGCTGGATTCGCTTTGTGGACAGTCGAGTAAACTGAGGCATGTCAGGAACTCTGGACACTACCCTAAATCCTGTCTCGTGGATTAAGCAATCTGTCTGGTTGCACTAGCTGAAGTAGAGCCTGTGAAGGAAGATTGCCATTATATAGGACATCCATGGACTGTCAGGGCGTGTCCCAACCTCTATCTGTCCCTGTGGCCACCTTTGTCAATCTAGACACTGTTAAGACCTCTAGGCTTTATTACTGGCTATTGAATCAACTCCCATTTTTGTGAACAGTGGTCCTAGGCCAGTACCTCGCTTTTTCAGAGCCTGGGCTGCTAGTGTCAGATCTGAGGGTAATGACACCTCAACCCACAGGACTTGGGGATAAATAAGAGAAGTAAACTCCCCTTTGGCAGACTGGGGTTGGGGAGCCAGCTGGTAAGGAGGTAGAGTATAAAGTCTGGGGGTCCACAGGGGCCCCAGGAATACTCTAGTAAAATATAAGCTTTCATTGGGTGTCAGGTGGTGGGGCACCTTCAATTTCAGCACTAGGGAGGCAGAGGCAGGCAGATCTCTGAGTTCTAGATTAACCTGGTCTTCAGAGTGAGTTCCAGGACAAATAGGGCTATGCAGAAACCCTGTCTCGAAAAACCCAAGCTTTCATTTGTTCATAGCCTCAGTCTCCTTACTGAAGAACTGAGCAATCAACAGGTAAAAGGAAAAAATTCAGCTTTCATTTGGTGGCCTTAATGCTGCTATCCTGCCTTTCCAACACCACCACCATTGTTTTTTTGAATCAGAGTCTCACTCTGTAGTCCTTGGTTAGCCTGGAACTCACTTCGAAGATCAGGCCAGCATCAAACTCAGAGATCCGCCTGCATCTGCCGACATATGCTGGGACTCAAGGCATGTGATCCTACCAGGGTGCAGAACATCAGAGTTTTGGTAGGGATCAATGTGCATACTGAGGCGCATTCAAGGTTGTCGGCTTTCTTTGTGTAAGTCTGAGTGTTCACAAGTGTGACACACCAACACCCATAGGTGTTCTACTGTGTTAGGTGGTAATCATGTTAATGTGGGCATCATGATGCCATGGCATACCTGCATGTCCTGTAAGATTGATGCTCACCGGTGTGTTAGTGTCCAGGTGACCTAACTAGATGTCAGAGTGTGGGGGATGCCTATAACATATCCAGGTCATGAACATCATGTGTAACTATGTGTCAAGATTTGAAGGACTAACTTAAAAAAATTGTTTTGTTTTGTTTTTTTCTAGACAGGGCATTTCTGTGTAACAGTCCTGGCTGTCCTAGACTCCCTTTTTGTAGACCAGGCTGGCCTCAAACTCATAGAGATATGCCTGTCTCTGCCTCCCGGATTGAAGGGCTAACTTTTAAGTGTGTGTGGTCTGTGTGTGTGTAATGGAAGTTTTGGTTTCTTTGAAAACTCAAGTTACATAAATTTTTTAACCCCAAGTGTGGGATTTTAGTTGGGCTATAGTTTGTCCCCACCTGTTAATGGTCAGGTGCGGGGGTTGCTGGGGGAGGACCATGACCTTTGCCATCTGTTAACATTCTTCCACTGCTGCACTGAGAGGGGTATGGTCTAGGACTCTTGAGAGTAGAAAGGAGAGCTAAGAGAAGAGGAGGTGTATGTGGTGGTGTTTGGTGTTGGCATGTGGCATGTTGCAGTTTGGAGAGACCAGAGACGGTGTGGCACTTTGGAGCAGACAGATGGAGAAAAATGCTTCAGGGTTCAGCGGCGTGGAGGAGACTGCTGGCTATGCCTGTGGTTGATGGGGATTGGTACGGAGCCCTAAAAGAATGCCTTGACCCTACATAGCTGGAAGAAGTAAAGGGGTCTGGGACCCCTCTCTCCACTAAGAAGGGTAGAGGCCTAAACACCCCAAATAAAGTTGACTTTTTAAAAAGAGCGCTACAGGTGGCTTTTGCTACGTGTATGTGTGTGTACGTGTGTGTCTCATGTGCAAAGAGGCCAGAAGAGGGCATCAGATCCCTTGAAGCTGGAGTCACAGGCAGCTGTAAGCTGCCGGAAGTGGGTACTGGGAACTCAATTCTTCAAGAGAAGCAAGTGCTCTTAATCTCTCTAGGCCCACCTCCCTGCAGCTGAGCCTTGTGTATCTAGGTGTCAAGACATTTTACAATGTAATGTGCTTCTGTGCACCATGTGCTATGCTGTGTCTCACGTGCTTGTGTTAGTGGGTGATTATGCACTAACATTTGTGTGTGAGGATGTCGTTATAGATCTTTGTATGTATGTATCATTGTGGCTGACAAACGAGGCAAGCATGTTTGCATATATTCAGGTATGTCTGGGTGTTGTGTTACTATGTTTTCAGTGTTCCTATTTGTATATCTTATTGCTATATCCAGGGTGTGTCCTATGTATGTCAGGGCATGGCTGAAAACTGAGACCCAGAAGATGACCATGTTAAGTCTCTAGACCTGACGTGATAGTTTATTTGGAAAAAAGGGTCTTTGTAGATGTGTCTGAAGTTTTTGAGATCTGGATTACCCAAGTGAACCGTTAATTTAAAGATATTTGACAGCCAGAAGAGGATGATCACATAGATTACTGATATAGCCTTGAGCCCAGGTATGCCAGACAGCTACCAGCAAGTTGAATAGATAAGGCTGTTTCTGTCTCTGTGCTGGGGATCAAACCTGGGCCTGGACCACAAACCATGTCCAGTATCGAGCTATACTCCTAGACATGAACCAGCAGAAACACTGTTAGATTAGCCCCAGAGAGCCTCATTCCATGGGTCCAAGCTGTTGTGTGTCAGGGCTGTTGTGTCCCAAACCGAGGTGGCATCCATAGGACCTCTACTTGAGATATCTTGCTTGTCCTGGTGCCCTGGAGTTACCAGCTAGCTTCCCCAGGGTGCAAAACCACTGCCCTCTAGTGGCTCTATCTGCAGACACTGTCCTAGACGCCCCTTGCTCCTCAGAGATCCAACACTGATGGATGGCATTTGAGAACCAGATTTATTTCTGAGGTGTTTTTTTTTTTTTTCAGAGTATAAAAAAAGTGACCGGAAACCAATGAAGACAGGACAGACAGAAACACAGGGTAGAAACAACAAAGGAGAGAGAAAGGGGCAGAGAGGGCCCTCTGGTTGGCAGGCACAGGACTAGGGGATTCTAGAGGCAGGCAAACACAATAAGGGAGCCCCTCCATGGATGGAGGGCATACAGAATGGGAGATACCAGGCCAGTGCCCCAAATTAACTGTATTGAGCAACCTTGAATCGAGGCCAGCTCCTGGCACACAGAGGGAACTGGAGGCTGAGCCTCAACTGCCCCTGAGATTTTAGAGTCCCTGGGAAAGTTAGTAGTGGGCAGAGTGAAAGTGAGCTACCAGGGTCATCCTCACTGTCCTCCTTCCTGGCAACACCAGCCCCCAAATTCCCAAGGAGGGGTTGTTCAGGTATCTAGTGACACATGGTAGGAACAACTCTACATATTTTTCTTATGTGAATACAGGTTTTTATGAGAATGCCATAGGGGCAACCTTGAGGGCGCACGCGCGCACACACACTTGAGCACGGACACACACACACACCCCTCCAAGATGGTCTCTAAGAGCCAGAGAATAGGGAAGATGTTTAAAAGCAAGACTTCTTCAAAGTTAATATTGAGAACATTGCTGAACTGGTGGGCTGTGCACGGAGTCACCTGTACAGCCTGGAATCTGTGTGCCACATACTGGCATCGCAGCTTGAGCATCTTGAGCCCCTCTCAACTTCAGTTCTCATGACTGGATAGGGGAGGCAGGAGTTTCATAACCACTGAGTGAAGCACATGACATGATGCCTAGCTGAACTGATGACCATCACTGTGACAACAGGTTGGGCCAGCTGTACTCTGGGAGAGCTAGGGGACGGATACACCTGAAAGAGAGCCAAGACAGCTTGTCCCACTGTGTGGCTGACCTGGAGGTGCCTAGGGAAGACACAGAACTAGAAGACTCATGACTCAGATAGGGGATGGTCACATGTTGGAGGGAACATAAATAAACAGACTCCCTGGGAGTCTGGGGACATTCAAACCCCACTCTAGCCCCAGGCAGCTGCCCTGTTTGCTGCCAGCAGCACCGGGGTGCACCTGGGCTTGGATCCTAGAAGAAAGGTCTATAAGCAGACAGCAACCACCCTCCCAGCCACAGGGTTGAACCTGCAGTGCCTCTTTAGAGGCACCTGGAGGTGGCATCCTATCCCTCCCTGTTCACTGGACTAGGCTTAGCCACTCGGGTATCCTGCAGGATCCAAAGGGGCTGTAGGGCCAGCTCTGCCTCATCCTTGGCTGTGGGCTCTGGTCACAGTGTTGGGGTCTGGGGTCCAAGTATAGGCAGCAGCTAGGACATGTTTCCGAAGGAAGCTGTAGGATGGATAGGAGGGAGAGTTGGAATTTTGGCACACCCAAGGGATGGTCCTTATCAGATGGCCCCAGCCACCCTCTTGTGGCTAGAATAGTCATCCCACACCCTAGTCCCTCCCCCAACCCTGGTACTCTAGTTCCCGACACTAACCTTGGCTGAGCAGTTGGAGGCTCCGCCCCTCCTCACGAACCTGCAGGTGGAGCACCTGCTGTAGCACCTCCTGCCTCTGAGCCTCTTGGGTCAACCCCATTCTCTGGAGCTTATCTGCATTCAGTCGAAGCAGAGCCCGGCCTAAGGAGAGAGAAGAAAGAAGGCAGTGAGGCAAACAGAGGCAAAGCGTAATAAGACTCTCCATCAGGATAGACAAACAAACACCAAAACCAAACCCACCACAGATCAAGAAAGGGGAGCAAAGATTCAGGATTCTTAAAGGAAGCGAAGTAGAGAAAAAGAGAAGATTGATTAAAAGATAGAGGCCAATCAGAGAAGCCATCAGAAGACAGAGCAGAGGAGAGAGGCAGAGAAACACACACACAGCAGAGGCGCAGAAAGGAGGCTAACTCAGGAGGATACAGGTTAGGACAAGGCTGACTAAGTTTTGAGCATCCTGATCCTCCCTAACCCATGACCCACCATACCAGTGATGGCATGCTGGGAGAAGGCCTCGACATAGACGAGGTAGTTGTGAGGACAATGCTTCTTGAGCCACTTGCAAACATCTTGCTGGCTCCACAAGACCACCGGCCTTGTCAGGCCACCCAGTGAAGGGCTTGTATGGTACAAGCCATAGTGATCGGAGTATAGCCGGGCCTGCAGGTGGGGAGGTAAGGTCAGAAGAACGAAGGGAATAAAAACTGAGGGCAAGGGCTAAGATGTCGGTGGGTGGGGCGGATAGGTACCTGGGGGGCCTCTGAGCCCGGCTGTTGAAGGAGCTTGATTGGCCTGCTGCTGGATGCCCTCTGGCTGCGGGAGTCATGCCATGTGAGGCTGGTGCCTGGTGTCCGAGGCAGGTGGCAGGGTATGTTCTCAGCTGATACTGTGTGCTCTAGGAGGTTCTGGCAGAAGCTGAAATGGGCAGAGGCTGTATGCAGGGATGTGCATACAGAGTGGTCAGGGGCAGGCTCCTCCCCTGTGACTCAGCTCCCTGACAAGTAAATCTTCTCTCTACCAATGAGGAGAGTAATTTCTCCTCTACGGGGAATCTCAAACCCTGCAACCCCTGAGACGAAAAACCAAACTAAACCAAAACCAAAACAAACAAACAAACAAACAAACAAACAAACAACCCAAACAAAAAAAATACAACACAGCACAACAAACAAACAAAAAAACAAAATCGCCAACAACAGACAACCACAAAAACAAACAAAAAAATTGCAAGAGTTGTCTTGAGGACTTCTTTCAGAAGATAAACTGGACATGCCTTTCCCTTTATCAGCTGACAGCTGACACTCTGCCCCCAAGTGTGTTTGGATGGGAGGATGAACCTCCCCATGGCCAGGCCAGGGGAACGATCTCCAGGGATGCCCTGAATTGCTCTGCCCCTTGCCTTGGACTGGCACACAAGTCTTCTACACGTCATTCAGGACCAGGGTGTGCATACATCTATGTCTTCAATAGTCTCTAACTATGACTCACTGGCAAAACGTTTGAACTCTGGGGAAGCTGACAAGAACTTGCCAGACACACGCTGGATTTCCCTTCTGTATGGCTTCTGCAGGGCCTACCCCAGGACAACTAGTGTGAATAGGGTGCCAGCTAGGCGTGGACTAGCCAGCACAGGTGTGCTGGGAATCTTCTCCCACTAATTCATTGCGCTTGTCAAGTTCGTTTTAGGGTCGTTTATGGGAATCACTACTGGCATGAATCTGGGGACGGCCAATGTCTGGATCCCCAAGGTTTGCCCAGGTCTTGGTACACAGAAAACATCCATAAATACTGGATATGAACAAATGACTCCACGCGGTGTCTTCACGCCAACAGAAGAAGGAAGGTGGGCTTAAGGAGTAAATGGGTGGCCATTACTCTGAGATAGCCATAAGACTTACTCTAAGCGAGCAAGGTCCAGGAAATAGACACTGTAGTCTGAGGGCTTTGCAGGGCCTTCCCTGGGCTATAGCTAGAACGCTCCTCACAAGGGAAACCAGTCCAACGTCTTAGCTGCAACCGCACCTGCCAGGGCTGCTCAGGCCCCGCCTATTTCCTCCCTGCTGTGGGTCAGATTCGGTGTTCCCAAGCTCAACCTCAGCATTTTATGCCTCCTCCCACCTCGACCCCAACATTAGGGCTTGGGGAGGGATTTCTCTGTGTGAAGTAAATAAAGGTCGACCTGAGTGGTGTCGGCTTGGTGAAGAAGCTCCTGACAGTCATCCCCACTCCAAGCCAAGGCCTAAGACTGACCGCCGCCCTCCCGCCCCATAGTGCTGGACAAAGGCCCTTGGACTCTAGTTAATAACCCCCCACCCCCGCAGTGGCCGCACCCGGAAACCTTCCGTGTCCAGCCCGGGTGCTCTCCTTGGGCCCTGGTATCCCTCCCGCTCCTACCCCACCGCTCACGGTATTCCTGTGCCTGGGTCCATCCCAGCTCACCGTCCACATCCGGGCGCTCCCCGAAGCCTGTACGCACAGCCCCGGCGCGAGCTCGCGGGGGGCTCAGCTTTGACCTCAGCTCGGTGAACATGGAGCCCGCGGGTGCGCGGCTCTGGCACACGCCCCTCGCGGAGCACCAGGCGGCCAGTGTGGCCAGTGAGCAACGCGCACCGTGTCCCCACCCGCCGGAGCCGGCCGAGCCCAAGCCGGTCCCCGCGGCCGGGGAGTCTGCGCGGCAAAAGCACCTGCTGCCCAGCCCTGGGCGCAAAGCGCGCTCCGGGAGCTCGGAGGTGTATCGGCGGCGCGCCGGGCTGCGTATGCTGAGGGTGTCCGCCAGGGCAAACCGCGTCCTTGCGCACCTGAGTACGACTCGGTGGATCAGCCTCTCCTGCAACCTGCTGGATGGCCTTGGCCTCTGCGGTTGACAAGCGAGGAACTGTCGGTCCCCTAGGTCTGGAATTAGTGGGGGCCCTAATGACACCTGTGGGCTTTTACCTACCGGGCCGGAACAATCTCTCGCAAATACCTGTGTCCTAATTTAGCTCATTCCTTTTTAAAATTTTTATGAATGTTCTGCCAGAATGTCTATATGTGCACTACGACGTACCAAGTGCCTAAAAAGGAATATCGGATCTCCCGACACCAGGGTTTATTGACAGTTGTGAGCTGCCGTGTGGGTGAACCCATGTCCTCTGAAAAACCGAGAAGTGCTTTTTTTTTTTAAATTAAACAAACAAACAAACAAACACTTATGTGCATTAGTGTGAAGGTGTCAGGTCCCTTGGAATCAGCATTGACAGACAATTGTGAGCTGCCAGGAATTGAACTCGGGCCCTGAATGGAAAAACACGTACAGTGCTCTTAACCACTGAGCCATCTCTCCAGCCTCACTAGCTCATTCTTTACCGGAGCGTTTTCTTATTCAGACCCACTTTCCACAGACACCGGCTGACCCTCGCTTGTGGACCACTTTGCTTTAAACCTCAGGGGGCACTACCCATCACTGTGGAGCCCTTCAGTCACGAGCAGTTGCCAAGGTTTTAGTGTTCACAGGTTAAATCCTGTTCCTCTCTGAAAACCTGTTCGGGGAGCCAGGACTGGTTGTTTGTCTCAGTACTCCACTGAAAGGCATTGGATGCAGAAGTCTGGTGTCCTGGTTTAGCAGAGTCCAGGCCGCAGCGACTTGTGTTTTTCCTGCCTGCCTTAGAGCCTGGTGCTCTAGGGTACGGTATAAGGAAAGTGAGGCAGAGAGGCATACTCTATCTTAACAGATTGAGACTGCTTTATTGAAACACTTAGGGGCCTCAACCTAAAGGGGCTGACACACAGACACACAGGCTACCAGAGTTACAGATATTTTTGTGGTTTAACTGGGAGCAGAGTTGGTTTTCTTTTCCCTTGGCATATTGTTTCTGCAGGTAAAGCTAACCATTCCTAGGGCTAAGCCATTCTTTCTAGCTTGTAGTTGGTGCCCATTACAGCCTAGCTCGTGACCTGAGGCTATTATCACCCAAAAGGTGCAACTGGCATTGTCTTGTAGGAAGCACAGGCAGAAAGTATCTGTGCAAAGCAGAGTGGTGTGCGTTCCCCCAAGCCACTGGACACACAGTCACTCCCAAGCTTGTGACACTGGTCCACACAGTTGAATGCACTATACACTTGTTCTCCGAGCGCGCGGTGGTTGGGCCAGGGTGGTCCCGGGTGTGAACGCAGAGTGCACTGAGCAGCAGTTGCAGAGAGCACGCAATCGGGACGGCCGGTGCCCGCACACCGGCTCAGTACAGCCAGGCTAATCGGGTTCGCCGCCATGCCTGCACCGGAACGATTCTCAACAGACCTATGGGCTGAGGCTGCGCGTCGTGGCTGGCACGGCTAACGAAGCCATGACCCTGCTACGTTATCGCTGGCAACTTGCGCGCGCGCATCTTCCCACAGCAAACCCACCCCGCAGCCTCGACCGGAAACGCCTTGCAAACCCACATCTTTGACTTCCGCCCAAGGATTTGGGTGGACGGGGCTTTTCGCGACCTCACTTTCTACTTCCGGGGCGCAGGTGACGTAGTGGCTGCATCTCTTCCAGCTGCGACAGCGGGAGGAATTTGAGCCTTCTGCCGCGTACCTGTTCCCCTGCCTTTCTCTGTTTCGGCCAACAACACCGCCATGAACAAGAAGAAGAAGCCGTTCTTGGGCATGCCCGCGCCGCTGGGCTATGTACCCGGGCTGGGCCGGGGGTAAGGCAATGGGCGGAGCTTGTTTCGGGACGACTGTCTTAAGGGCAGTGGAACACAGCTCGCTCTGGGCCTAGTTGAGAACGGTTCTAGACTAGTGACCACTAGAGCTACGTAAAGAGAATGCGTCTCAAAACAAAAAAAGTACAAAAAACAAGTGGCTGGGAATGGTGGCGCACGTTTCTAAACCCAGCATTGAGGCGGGGAGGGGGGAGGCGGCAGGCGAGGCTTTCTTTTCTGAGTTAGAGACCAGTTTAGTCTACATAGAGAATTCCAAGACAGCCAGGGCTACATATCGAGTTCCAGGACAGCTAGGCTTACTTAGAGTTACCCTGTCTCAAAAGCAAGATTAACGTTCACTGCCATAGAGTCGGAGAGACACTAGGTAATTTGGCATAATGCCTGCTAGACACTGGTGTATTTTTTGTTTGTTTGTTTGGTTGGTTTTTGTTTTTTGCTTGATTGGTTTTTGTTGTTGTTCAGAATAAGCGGTTCGTGAGGCCCGACTGCCTCCCTGAGATGTGACTCAGGGCTTAACTACGCAGCAGAGGTCTAAGCCGCAGTGTTTTGGTGTCTGTAGCAAGTAATATTCGTAAGCAAGTCTTCTGTAAGAAACAGTTGAGTCTATGATATATACAGTAAGAGTGTGCTACTCCTTTCCTTAAGCATTCTTTCCCTCCAGAATGTATGGCCATAGGACACCTCTTCAGAGTCTCAGCCCTCTGGACGCTGATGGCTATGCCTGCTAGCCGTAAGGTGTTGGATAAATGAATAATATTTGAATAATGAATATTTGAATGTTTGATAAATGAATAATATCTGTTCTGCTTCTTTATTCATTTGATTAGGGAAACATAAATCTCTGGTAATGGTATTAGAAGGGGGCCATTCACACTCAACTTCAGAAGACCTGCAGTTTACTAGAAGAGGTTTGGTGTTTGTATAAATAAGCACACAAAGGAGAAAAGAAGTCAAGAGACATTCAGCGGTGCAGCATTTTAGTCAGGTTTACAAAGAGGATTTTGAAGTGTCAGTTTTGGAAGGAGAAAAGGAAAAGAGTGGAATTTGGTATAGACACACAAAAAAAGCAAGTTAGGGGACTTGGTGAGGTGGCTCAGAGGGTAAAGGCTCTGTCAAGTCCAAGTTTGATCCCCAGAATTCACGTGGTGGGAGAGAACTGATTCTCTGAAGTTGTCTTGTAACCTCTACCCATGTATCAGGTCACACATACACTAAATAAATAAACAAGCAAACAGGTTAAAGGGGTAGGTGGAAGTGTAGTTGGATGGTACCATGCCACAAAGCCCTAGTTTTGATTCTAGCATCTTGTTCAACCTCTTTAAAAAATAAAAAGGGAGGCTGGGCGTGGTGGCGCACGCCTTTGATCCCAGATTGGTGGCTACTTGGGCTAGGTAAAGAGACTGGGTCTCAAAACAAAACAGTACAAAAACAGGTAGCTGGGGATGGACTCTTGTCTTTTGATACAGAAAAGCAAAACCCAAAGGATCAAAGTGTATCCAGATGATTTGGCTGCATTCCAACAGTTAAGTTCTAGAATACTTGACAGTTAGCACCCAAAAAAGTAAAATTCACAGTGTAAGGCAATAAACAAACATGCAAAGAAGCAGGAGAAAAATTATAAAACCTGACAGAGGCTGGGTATTGTGGTGCACACCTGTAATCCCAGCACTCAGGGAGGCAGCAGGAGGTGGATCTCTGTGAGTTAAAGGCCAGCCTGGTCTACAAGCGAGTCCAGGACAGCCAGGGCTGTGTTTAGCAGAGAAACCGAAAGGGGTAAAGAGATGGCTTGGCGGTGACGAGCACTGCTTTTGTAAGAGGACTTTGAGTTTGATTTCCAGTGCCCACGTCAGGTGACTGACAACTTGCTTGTAACTCCATTTCCAAGGGTTCTGGCATTCTCTTCTGGCCTGCACAGGCACCTGCATGCATGTGGTGTTTATAAACACACAGCTTCACACACATACACATAAATAAAAATAAATGCTAAGGAATATGATCAGGCGTGATGAGGCTAGAAAAGAAAGGAGTCCAGAATAGTGGGATTTGCAAGAAGAATGGAACTGAGAGGGTCACAGGGACCTTAACATTGGGATAGAGCTCCCATAGTTTTCTGAGCTACATTTTGAAAAGAATCATGTGACAGATTGAGGGTTGAAGTAGGAGTGGGTTGGAGGCAGGGATGGTAAATGGATTTTTAGCCATGCAGGGCCTTGGTCTTGGAGGAATGATTTGTCAGTATTTGGCATAGGCAGGATGGAGAGAACTCAAAAGGGGGACAAAGATGCTGGTATATTGCTTCTTATGGAATGGCTGTTAATGGCTCGTTACCCTGGAATAGCTGCTGAATGCATAAAGAGGAAACTGAGAGAGTGAAAGTGGAGGGTTCACGATGAACAGACAGTTGGAAATGTGAGGCCAGAACTGAGAGGAAGGACTTCTGAAGACTTGGAGAGTGAAATGGAGACACCTTGGGATGAAGAAAAACTTTGTCCTACTCATTGTAGGTTAAAGTTGTAAAAGTTCAGCAGATAGGGCAGGAGAGATGGCTCAGAGGTTAAGAGCACAGACTGCTCTTCTAGAGGTCCAGAGTTCAATTCCCAGCAACCACATGGTGGCTTACAACCATCTATAATGAGATATGATGCCCTCTTCTGTCATGTAGTCATACATGCAAATAGAATGCTTATATGTATAAATACATAAATCTTAAAAAAAATAAAAGTTCAGCAAACAAAGAAGACCAGTAATGTATAAGCAGTTCATTAGAGTCATTCTAGAGTCTCTGGAGGTTCCCAGAAGTGTGAGAAATGATGTTGCCAAATGATGATCAAAAGAGAGCATAATGATGTCTTAACTAATGATGTCTCTGGGCTTCTTACAGTGCCACTGGCTTCACCACCCGCTCAGACATTGGGCCTG